AAGACCGAACGCCGGATGGCTTGGTTTTTGGTTTGGGCGAACTCCAAGTGTTTTCAGGCAGGTTTAAGACTTAAGAAAATCATTTTGAATATGCAAAAAATATTTTGATGAAATGAGCCTAGAGAGCCATGTTTTGAAGGTTTGTGCCGGTCTTGATCACATTAAAACCGACTCAATACAATTCTAAGTCTTCGTTCTTGATTCTTGGTTCTTGGTTCTCAGTTCATCATGCCATGTTCCTTTGCCTTGGTTTTGCTCAGTTTAACCTTGTTATTGTCACGGCGGTTTGGCATTATCAAAACCTGTCATAAAACGAACACGGCTTAGTACGACATAGGCGTAAACCCATGTTCCAACAATTTCCCCCTTTTTGATAATGGAAAACAAGACGGGAATATGCATACTAAGGTATATTTGACTTTGAAAAGAGTGAAAAAGTTCCCCCTTAATTTGTGCTTAAAAAAAGAAATTGTCATATTAAAATCAAACGATCCCGTTTTTAGGGACGTTCCCCCTTAGTGTGTGCATAACCCTTTTCTTACCCCTTTTGACATTAACAAAAAGATAGAGGATAACTTTTATTTATTGAAAAAGGGAAATAGCGGAGTACAACAGAAGCATTAAAAAAAATAGGATAATTAAAATAAGAGATAGAAATTCTAGGGGCGTCCTAGTCTTCGTCTTCGGTTTCCTCCTCGTCGTCCTCGACGTCCATCTCATCACCATCAACGGCGTCGTCGAACTCGTCCTCGTCCGGGGAGCTTGACGGGTCGTAGGAGGCATCGTCTTCGTCCTCGTCACCGTACACCTGCCCAAAGAACGTGCCATGGTACGGTGGGGGGACGTAGTTAACGCGTTGGAAGTACGCGTTCATGGCGTACCCTTGACGTTGGACTGCCTCGTCAAGTCTTTCAAGGTAGCCATCCATCCCATCAACTTTGAAGTGCAGCCGGTTGAGGGAGTCAGCAATGGAGGCAAGGTTGGCCCGGGCCTGGGGTTCGGCTGGGCCAGCAGCAGAACGGGGCCGTTGCACGCCAGTGGCAGGTCCGGCGTTGTCCGACCGCTTCTTGAAGGTTTGGGTGCTGATCGCCCAAATCTTCGTGGCCTTTGTGAGTCGGCCAACGGTGGTGGTCACCTTGAACCGTTCAAGGATGTCCATCACCACGAACGGATACGGGAGGAGGTGATTATGGTCGGTGGACGCGGCAATCGTCATGTTGATCATGACAAACTTTGCCCAATTGATTGGGGCCGAGTGCATGATCGCATGGATGAGTTTGAGGTCCTCACCGGACATGATTGTGTGGCCATGCTTCCGGGGCTTGATGATTCGGGAGACGATGTAGAGAAGAAGACGGCCTTCGGGGTTAGCGAAGTGGATGGTTGGGCGGCCCAAGGCATGGAGGATGAGCTCGGTGATCCCAAGCTCGTTGAGGATAAGGCCCTCGTTGTTGAGCACCCAGTCCTCTCCGCCATAGAGGGAGACGTCGTCGCCTTGGTAGGGGAGGCCGGCGATGCGCCCAAGCTACTCAATTGAAAGTTCTATCGACGTGCTCTTGACAAGAGAATAGAGCACGTCGCCCTCACGCCGGAGGTTGGAGTAGAAGACCCGAATCAGCGCCAGGTTGATCTCCTTCCGAGCCCGGGAGATGAAAGGCCAAAGGCCGGCCTGATGAACCTGCGCGTCGAGGTCGTCGTAGCCCTGTAGCTCCGGGTAGTGCTCCGGGATGATCCGTGGAGGAGCCACAACCCGTTTAGAGAAGAAGGTGAGGAAACGGGTGCGTTCCTCCTCGGAATCAAACCAAAGGTATGACCCGTCACCATAGTAGAGGCGTTCCTCGGTGGATGTCGTAGGCGCCCGGGATTTGGACTTTGATTTCCCGGAGGTGGCAGCCCTGCTCTTGTCCTTGCCCATGATAAGAAAACTTAAGAGAAAAGAGTAGAGATGATGAAATAAGCAAAGATGTTGAAGAGAATTATGTTTGTGTGTGTAAAAGTGAAGAGAGGAGGTCCCAATTTATAGAGAAGGAGGTCTCCAACGTCCAGATTTTCAAAAAAATGGCTGTTGGATCAATTAATGCTGGTGCCAACGGATATTTTTTTGAAAAATTTATCCAGAACAACGATGTTCCAAAGGCTACATCGCTGTTGGGACAGCGCTGTTGAGCCTCTGGACAGCGCTGTTATGCGTCAAGTTTTAAAAACAAGTGTTAAATGGACAGCGATGTTGGGTTCCCTACAGCGATGTTCCAAATCATTCTGGAATTTTGTAAGCGGTTGAACCCATTAGAACAGCGCTGTTGGGTTTCTCTACATCGATGTTGAAAGTGGGACATCGCTATTTAAAAAGTTTCTGGTTTTGGTTGAAAACAAGGTGTTTTGGGTGGACAGCGATGTTTTAGGTTGGAACAGCGATGTTAAAAAAGTTTCTGGAAAATGAAGAGTAAGGGACTCCCTGGGACAGCGCTGTTGGCGTGTTGTACAGCGCTGTTGGCACAAACTGGTTGACGGTGTTTCTCTCAACAGCGCTGTTTGGTCTCTTGGACAACGCTGTTTGCATGGTTCCCCCTGATTTCATGAACGGGGTACCTGCAAAAAAAAGAAAAAAGTTCTCCGACGCTCAAGTTAGTAAGTGTTTAATAAGTTTAGATGCATAACTTAGATCATCGTGGAGTCAAGGATTCCGAGTTCACTTCGAATGCGGAAGAACGACTCTTTCTCTAAAGGTTTTGTGAAAATGTCGGCTAATTGGTTGTGTGTTTCAACAAACTCAATTTCGACATCACCGTTGAGAACATGATCTCTAATGAAATGATGTCTAATGTCAATGTGTTTCGTCCTTGAGTGAAGAACGGGGTTCTTCGTCAAGCTTATGGCGCTAGTATTATCACAACGAAGAGGGACGTGATTGATACTAAGGCCATAGTCCACGAGTTGTTGCTTCATCCAAAGAATTTGAGCACAACAACTACCGGCGGCTACATATTCCGCTTCGGTTGTGGATAACGCAACACTGACTTGTTTTTTACTAAACCATGAGACTAGAGAGCTACCAAGTAAGTGGCAAGTCCCACTCGTACTTTTACGGTCTAATTTGCAACCGGCAAAGTCCGAGTCGGAATAACCAACGAGATGACAAGAAGAGCCTTTTGGATACCACAGTCCAACGCTTACCGTGCCGGCAAGATATTTCATAATCTGTTTTACCGCCGTTAAGTGCGATTCCTTCGGACATGATTGATACCTTGCGCAAAGGCAAACGCTAAACATGATATCCGGCCTACTAGCAGTAAGATAAAGAAGGGATCCGATCATACCTCGATACTTTTTGACCTCTACTTCCTTACCTTTCTCGTCTTTGTCAAGATGATCAGACGTGCTCATCGGGGTCGCCATGGCTTTGGCGCTGTCCATTTCAAACCGTTTTAGGAGCTCCTTGCAGTATTTAGTTTGGCAAATGAACGTGCCATCTTT